CACACACGTGGGCTGCACATCACCAGGAACTCACACCCACAGCAGGCAGCCAGGCAGGGCGGACAGTGCCTGGATCCGAGGGCAGCCCTCTGGGCCAGTTCCCTGGCACAGATCTGGGGTCCCAGCCTGGCCACTGGAGCCAGTGGAGGGGAGGAGGGTGCAGGAGCCTGAGGCCCCCAGACTCAGAGGTGGAGCTTGGGTCCCTCAGCCCCGCGCCCAGCTGCCCAGTGCCCACCTGGTCACAGTGGGTACAAGCAGCTTCCCTCTGGGTGGGTCTGCCTCTCTCCACTCCGAAACAAGACTGCCTCACGACACTCTGGGCTACTTCCTGAAGCAGGGCCACAGCGACCCAGCTGCTAGACACAGGAGGACTAAACGCAAAGACAGGCTGGGATGTAGGACAGAGGGGCACACAGCACGCCCCCCTAGACCACACCTGCTGAAGGGCAGAACCTGGGGCTCAGTCCCACCCCCCCGCATGGGGCTCGGTGTGAAGTAGGAGCCCAGTGATCATTGGTGTGTGGATTCATCCTGACGCCTGGGAGAGAGGAGGCCATGCCTTTGCTTCTCATCCGCTGCAAGTCTAGCAGGGCCAGGCCAACCCTCCCTAACCTGCACTGGCTCCAACAAATGCCCCAAGAGTGGAGCTGTCACATGGTTCCCCTCATCCAAAGCCGATCTGGGCTCCTGGCCTTGGACTCCCCAGTGCCGGGGAGCACTAAGCTGGGGTCTCCTGCCCATCTGGCTTGGCAGCACCTCAGCACTTCGTGGCCACCAGGGAAGAGCCTGGCCAGGCTTCAGGAGCAGGTCCGGGCCCTGATCTCAGCATGCATCACTCGAGTGTGGGAGGAGGAGGATGAGGGGAAGAGGGACGTGCAGGCCGGAATGTGGAGAGCTGAGGGCACACACAGCTCCCAGTGCCGACTTCCCAGCAGCTCCGGGAAGACAGAGGTGCGGGAAGAGCCGAGCAGGGGCCTCTGAGACCCTCACGTGGCCCTGCCCTGCTGAGCTGCTCAGGAGCCGGGGGAAGTGACACAGACCAGACCGCCGCGGGGCTCTTGGGCAGAACATGGCAGTGGCTGCACCCTGGGCCCAAGCTCCTGCTGGGCTCCACAGCGCCCTGGCCTGCTCGGCCTGTCCGGCCAGTTTCTCCTCCTCAGGCTGTCGGCCTGGAACAGAGTGGGAAGCGGTGTCCATGCTGCCCCGAGCCACTCATGTGTGGTGGGCCAAGGTGCACTCAGGTTACCCTGAGGCAACCCTGCTGGGGCCCAGGAAGAGAGGATGTGGACATGGGCGGGGTGGACATTACTTGAGCGTCCTCTGTCACCACAGACTCATCTGGCCAGAGAGCAAGGAAGAGCCCAGGGTGCCTGGTGCAGCAGCAGCTCCTGGGTACCACAAGGACGCCGGGCCCTCTTAGACCTGGACGAGTCTCCATGTGACTCCAGCAGAGGCTGAGCCCTCCAAGGAGGACAGACACCTTCATCTGAAGGCGGGGCCCCAGGAAGCCCAGCTCCAGCCTGCAGAGCACCTGCTGGGCTCGCTGTGTGCGGCCTGCTGATCTCCGAGGGTCTGTCTCTGAAGCCCATGCTGGCTGCCCTGTTAGGATAGGAGTTGCTCGAGGTCACCAGGAAATGAGCCCCAGAATGACCAAGTCTCCACGTCTAGCTGTTGCCACAGTGTCGCTCTGCGCTGTGCCCAGCTGTGAACAGAGACCCTGGGCCGGAGCCTGGGGACCCACCCCGCAGCGCAAACCCTCAGGTGTGTCCACCGTCATTTGTGCAGCTCAGAGGTCCCTAGGGCGGGGAAGGAATAAGTGCAGGCTGCTTAAAGGGCCATTCCCCCGGAGGCTGCACCCTGCCTCAGCGGCTTTAGCAGATGCATTTGATCTCAGGAGAACTCTGTCTTCGGTTTTGGTCTTGTCTTTGACTTGCCTGTCAGGAGCCTGTGGGTGGAGCGCATGGTGCGGTGGCAGTGGGCTCAGTCCCAGCCGATGAAGGTGCTCCCTGAGCCGGGGTTCCTGGGCCGCTCCCCAGCCCTGGGTGGGAAGGGGCTGCTTGGGCTGCTGGATCTTCCGCTGGAGCGGCCACAGCCACATTGCTGGGGTGTGTGGAGCTTTACAGTTTACACAGCCTCCTCCTACGTGCATTCTCTCAAGGGAGAACATTGCAGGAATCGGTTAACTACAGAAAAGCAAAAAAGGGGCAATAAAGTTTATCTTCGAATCCATCACTCAGGAAAATCTTTGCTAATGATGTAACATTCCCTTGAATGTGTTTTCCAGAGGCTTGCTTGTGCTGTGCTCTACTGAGGCCATGCTGCTGTACGTTTGATAGCCTGCGTCTTTCGAGGAGCACTGTGTCTGCACCCACCCCATTTCCCCTTCGTCCTCCCTGGGGAGAGGAGATTGTGTGGGAGGTGTCCCTGCCTAAAAGTCTGATGCCCATGCCCATCCCTCTCTAGCTGCGTGTGCCTGGCCACTCAGGACAGCAGCAGCACACAGTAGGTGCTCCGTCTGGTCAGCTGAGTGGAGCTGCAGACCACACTGGAGACCCCGCCTCTAATACTGAGCCGGGGACGGGTCAGTTGGGCCAGAGCCCTGGAGACCACAGTGCCCAGTGTGGCGGCACACAGCAGTCCCTGGAGCAGCCCCGGTGGAGGCTGCTTATCCCGGGACTGCCGGTCTGCCCCTCCTGGCCAGCAGGAGCAGTGAGGGGCACTTTTTTCCCTAGTCGCTGCCCTTTCTGTTCCACCGTGGGTGAGGTTGCCCAGCAGAGCCCCGTGCCTCACGGGATGCTCTGGGTGCCCCAGGTTCCGGGGTTCAGAGGTGGGTGTGGTGCAGCCCCTGCCTTTAGAACTTGGTCTATGGGCGCCCTTTGGACAGTGCCCGGAGCAGGCTCTCAGGTGGTGCCTGTGTGTGTGTGTGTCTCATCCTCGGTCACAGGTGTTCTCCCCACCCACGCGCCTGCCCCGCTCACACCCATGCCCGTGCCCATGTCCACTTCTCTGCACGGGGCTGGGCCCCACACACCCAGCCAGCATGTGAAAAGCACAAAGCCAGAGCAGAGGGGAGGAAGCGCCCCGCCGCTGTGGCAGTTTGGCGGCTGCTTATTTTCTGAACAGGAAGGCTCTTCGTGGCTCTCCTGCAGCTCGCGCGAGGGAGGAGGGGACGCACTGAGCTGAGCCTCCTCCAGGCAAACTCCAGGTCCCCAGGAGCCAGGCGAGGGGGCGCTGCCATTCGTGATCAGAAGGGCTACCGCCTTGCCCCACCCACCCTGACGCACTGGCGTCCAGCGCGGGCGTCATGACGTCGGTGACCACGGGAAACGCCACGCTCACTCCGTGCTCTGCCCCCCCCAGTGACGTCATCCTTCAAGGCCCGCTGGCTCCTGCCGCTGCTTCGCTCGAGGGAACCGAGGCCCAGAAGGTTGAAGACCCCCACGCCCTGACTGTCCAGGCAGGAGCGGGAAGGGCAAAGCCGGCCGCCCGGGGCCTGCGCGAAGTCTGTATGGCCAGTGTAGCCCCAGGGGCGCGGGCCCATGTGCTGCCTGCGAGACCCAGGCAGCCGCAGGACGGGGCTCCGCGGGAGGAGGCAGCGCCAGCACCTTGCGGCCTCCATGCTGTCCACACGCAGCAGCAAGGGAGTCAGAGAGCGGGAGGACAGGCCCGGCCGGGGCTGCAGTCCGCCGCCGACCCTGCAGCCTTGGGCTGTGAAATGGGGTGCTCATCACACGGGGCACGGGCAGATGGGGTCTCGCCGGCCAGGGAAGTTGCCCTGAAATAACTGCAGTTCAAGGTGACACATGCTCCGTGGGTTGTGGGGAGTGACAGCCCAGGAGCCCCGAGGGGCTGGGCCAGGGTGCTGGGCGAGGTCTCCCAGGTGCCAGGTCCGGAGCTCGAAAGGCCCCGGGAGGGTCTGGGGCGGGGCGGGGCGGGGCGGGGCGGGGATGGGGATGGGGTGGGGCTGTGCAGGAGAGGAGGAGGCCGGGCAGAAGGGAGACCCGGATGAGAAGGAATGGCAGGGTGGTGGGGGGGACTCCTGGCGAGACCACAGGCGTGGGGAGGGTCGGAGAGCAGGATGTGGGGCTCAGTCCTGCCCAGGAGACCGGGCAGCCAGCTCAGGGGATCAGGGACTAAGAGTTCCACCTCCGGGTCTTATGTTGAGCAGGTGGCCCAGTGACACAGCAGCCTGACCTGGAAAGCAGAATATCCCCATTGCAGCCTTGGGTGCTCACAGCCCTGGTGATGACCACCGGGTTAGACTGCTCAGGCTCACCACCAGGGGCGCTGTTGGGCAGCAAGGCCGTGAGCAGCCTTGTGGCGGCTTTTCCTGCTTCCGCCCTCTAATTTCATGCTGTACACAGTCCCTTCCTCCGCGACCGCAGGATCAGAACCCGGGCATGAAGCAAGTGTGTCTGCAGGAGAAGTACGGAGGGGTAGAGCTGCTTCGGGACTTGTACTGGCGATGAATCCAGGGAGACTTCCAGGGGGCCGGATCAAAGAGAGGGGGGAAAAGTGGCTGCCCGGATTCTCATTCCGCTTAGGGGAGGAGAGGAAGCAGCTGTTTGGTTAATAGGTCTGTTTGGTTCTGCTTTCCAGTCACTGGTGCAGATTGAGGTCTGTAACTCTAGGGAGACAAAAGCATCAGGCCACACACAGGTCCTTGCTGCTGGGGTTTTTCTCCTCTTTGAATATTTTTCCTGTATTGTTTGAAATTGCTCTGCCCGTCTCGCCTCGTTTGTTTGTGAAGCTCCTGGCTAGTTATGCATCTGTCTGGGGCTCCACCGCTCGGGCTGGGAGGGGCCTCTTCACACGAGGGAGGCTTCTGCCTTTCACCATCACCCTTTAGGAATTGGACAGAGTTGCTAGGAAATAAAAATGGCGATGCTTTCTATCCACGTGGCCCTGTGGACGGTGCCCCCGTAACAGGCTGTGGGTGGCACAGTGCGGGGGGGCCCGGGCCCCAAGCTCTGCTCAGCCCCACACTGCCCTGCCTGCAGCTCCAGAAGCAGCTGTCGGAGCTGGACGAGGACGACCTGTGCTACGAGTTCCGGCGCGAGCGCTTCACCGTGCACCGCACGCACCTGTACTTCCTGCACTACGAGCACGAGCCAGCCACGGATGGCACCGACGTCACCCTGGTGGCCCAGCTGTCCATGGACAGGTACAGCGCTGACCCTCTGCGGCCGGTAGGAGGGAGCCAGAGGGCAGTGGTGGGGCGAGCCGTGCCCAGCCTCCGCAGCTGCCAGCCGTCAGTCCTCGCCAGGGACAGCCAGCCGCTGGGGGCCTTGGGAGCCATTCCTGCCCGGGCCGCGGGGTACCCGGGACAGCGAGGCTCATGGGGAGCCCTGGACGCAGCCCTGCTGCTTGAAGCTCTCAGTGCAGCCGGGGCAGGGGGCACAGATGGAGCCGTCGGCACCCAGCTGCGTGGGTGCCACGAAGGACCGGGCCAGTTAACAGCACAGCCTGGGCAGGGGGCTTTCGGGAGACTGGGGGGCAGGGCAAGCTTCTGGGACATGGGGACATTTCCGTAGATACCTGGAGGGCAGAGGGGGTTAGGCGTGTGAGTTGCTGAGAGAAGCATCCTCCGGGCTGGAATGAACTCACTGCAGCCCAGGCAGGCCGGAACTCACAGCAGTCCTCCTGCCTCAGCCTGGTGAGTGCTGGGATTACAGGTGTTCTGCACCACACCTGGCTAGAACTAATTCATTCCTTTGTAGGAGAGGAGTACAGGAGTTTGGGCTGGGGTTGGGGGGGCTTTAGTCATGCCACACCACCCCGTTTTCTGTTGCTATACCAAGATACCTGAAAAGGGCTTCAGGGCCAGAGTGGGCGTGGCTTTGGTAGCACATGTGCAGGGGAGAGCAGAGAAAGAGCAGGGGAAGGGACCCACCGAGTGGCTCTCAGAGAGGCGCGCGGCTGTCCCTCACCCCTCCTTGTCCCCCAGGCTCCAGATGCTCGAGGCCATCTGCAAGCACTGGGAGGGGCCCATCAGCCTAGCCCTGTACCTGTCGGATGCCGAGGCCCAGCAGTTCCTGCGCTATGCGCAGGGCTCCGAGGTGCTCATGGGCCGCCACAATGTGGGCTACCACATCGTGTACAAGGAGGGCCAGTTCTACCCCGTGAACCTGCTGCGCAACGTGGCCATGAAGCACATCAGCACCCCCTATATGTTCCTGTCCGACATCGACTTCCTGCCCATGTATGGGCTCTATGAGTACCTCAGGTAAGGACCTTGGGCCCCAGGCCGAGGAGGGTGGGCCCAGGCTGCCCAGAGCAGAGCCCCTGACACTCATCACCCTGGAGGCCCGGCTTGCATAGCAGACACTGCTCTGGTCTGGGAGGCCCCTTCTCATCCCCAGTCCACAGCTCTTCCTCTGGCACCCGTGGAAACGCGCTGCCCTCTTCCAGTTTGGCTCAGACGGCCTTCATGTGACTGTTCTCGAAAGATCCCCACCCAGCCTTTAACACAGACCTCGGTGACCATGAGGCCTGACGTCCCATGAGCTGCCCGCTGGGTGCCAGAATCCATCCTGGAGCTCGGCACATAGGACCCAAAGCCCCACACAGGTTGCGCTGGCATCCTCCTCTTCAGAGGGGAGATGCAGGCCGAGATGCCAGGCACTGGCCTGAGGGTGCGCGGCCCGGCAGGGGTGCTCGGTCAGGACACAGCGTCTGCCGCAGGCCCACGTGCGGACGCAGCTTGAAGTCCTTCCCCAGGCTGCCCACGCAGGGCAGGGCCCGGGCGGCAGTCCCCAACGGAGGGGAGAAGCCCACGGGGCGTGGTGGGCAGCGTAGGATCAGTAACAGCACAGGACGAGGCCACAGAGCCACAGCCCAGGCCCCTCCTAGCCAGGAGAGAGCTGAGGTCCCGGGTGCAAATGGCCCAGCAGCATGTTAAGAGGTGGCCCTTTGTCAGCTGTCGTTCGTCAGCACGGGTTGGCTCTGCTCAACCAAATGCTCGCCAAGGGAGATGGCTGCGCATCTCGGCCCAGTGGGCCACACGCCCAGCCCCAGAGCAGGCACAGGTGGTGCCCACTGTGGGCTCGCGGGTCAGAGCGGAGAGCAGAGGTCGCAGCGGGCCCAGAGAGCTGTGCCCTGCTGCAGCTTCCTGTGGCCCGCAGGGCAGGGTCTGAGTGCTCTCCTGCTCTTGGCCGCCCTCCCAGCCTGTGTCTGTCTCCGCCTCTCCATGCCCTGCCCAGCAAGGGGAGGCGGCTGCGTTCTCAGCAGCTCCTGGGGGTTCTGAGGCTGCTTAGCATAGACCTGACCGGTGAGCAGGGAGGCGTCCCCCTGCCTCACTGAGAAGGCTGTCAGAGGCAGAGGGGGAGCTGGGGTGCAGTGCTGTGCCCCAGGCCGCCGGGCCCATCCAGCGCCCCGGCCCAGTGTATGAGGAGAGGGCGCCCCCGTGTGGCCGCACAGGGCGCTGCAGCTTTGAAAGCCCTGCAGCCCTAAGCGCTGTTCCAGACCAAGCCAGGCAGCAGCCCTGTGGCCCAGAGTTGAGCTCAGCCTCTGGTGCTTTGATGTAAGTCACTCAGTCGCTCCCAGCCCCCAGCTGTCTCTGCAGACCCCACCTGGATCCCACCCAGCGGCTGAACCGCAGCGCCCCTCCGAGCTCGCCCCCCACCCGGGCAGGACTCAGCTCTTAGGTCTGCAGAGCTGGTGCGGGAACCGCGAGTTGGATTTTCCCAGTTTCTTCTTTAATATTAGCAAATAACTAAAAATGAGTTTGTAGCGCTCCTGCGCCAACAAGGCTGCCTCCCGCCACCACCAGCCCATGTGACCTCAAGGCAGGCCTTTCCTGGGCACCAGTAAGGAGCAGACATGCTATAAGCCTGGCCTCCTGCCGGCCGGCCGGAAGTGGACAGCTGCATGGCCCTGCCTGGGGCTTCCAGAGGACTTTTCTCCTGAGTCAGGCTCGTTTCTGACGCACGCGGTACCAGTGCATGTAGCACGACAGCATCTTCACTCAGACTGGGGTCAGGGTTAAAGACACTGCTTGCCGGGCGGGAACTGTGAAGCCCAGCGAGCCCAGCAGGCCCCTGCCCGGGAATCCAGGACACCACGGTCCAGCACTAAGGCGTGCCAACCGCTGTGGCTGCGCGCCATTGAAATGCTGCTCAGGAAAACAGTGGCAAGTGCCCAGCCCACCCGCGCCCGGCACTGCTCCCTGCACCCTGCACTTCCCTCTGGGTGGACTCCATGCTCCAGGGGACGCTGAGCCCAGGGAGGTTCTGTGGCAGTCGGAGGAGAGGTCTCTGCCTACACAGCCTGCTCACCCCGGGAAGGGCCCAGGTCACTTTCAAAGCCCAGGGCTCCCCAGACCCTCTGACTTCACCCCAAACACTTACTCATCTCACCCTTTTTGAGGTCCTCCTTGGTTTCCAAAAAAAGTTCAGCATCATAGCCCTCGAACAGTTGCTTAGCAACCGGCTAACATGACAGCAAAGCAAATAGTTCAACTAGAAAAGAATGGCGTCAGCTCTCGCATGGGCCTAGCAGTAGTTTCCCTAAAGTCTCTTGACCTCCTTCTCCCACTTCTCCTAGAGAAGGGCGTGTGGGTGTGCACTGCCCGTCCTGCCCTCAGGCGTCGGGCGCAGTTCTCGGGGTGGCCGGGTCACACAGACCTGCAGCTGGACCCAGGGTCCTGAGCCTCCCCTCCCACCCTCCCCTTAGTGAGGGTCTGTGATGTCCTCTGCAAGGGAGACCAGGTGCCCTCCAGGGCCCACAGAAGCACTCAGCCCGGCGCCTGCCACAAACCTCAGTACAGCCAGGGCGTCTGCAGGAGAGACTTGCCCATGGTTCCTGCCCTTCGAGGGCTCAGCTCATGTGTTTTCCACTTTACCATGATGCAGAAGTGCTGGGCATCCAGCAGAGCACACTTCCAGCTGTGAACTCCACTCTCTTCCTGCCCAGCGGTCCGCAGCGTGTTGCTGTGCCCCAGGCTGGCCAGGCACGGATCCCTGGAAGGAGCCCTGCTGTGGGTGATGGGTGCTGCACTGTGAGCACCACTGTGCCAGGCGCTGGCCTGTGCGGTGCCCCGAGGGCCACCCCTGCCCGGGAGGGCACACACTCACCTGTGTCGCATCCGGATGTGGATATAAAGAGCCAAGGACCCAGGCTCACAGCAGATGCCCGCCATGGGCAACAGACACGGCCTCGGGCTGCGATCAGGCTGAAGGCCAGGGCCTAATGTGGAGACAGGGTTCCAGGGACCCGGAAGCAGCTGCATGGCTTCAGTTCCTGAGCGGCGGGGATGGAGGACGGACCGGATGTCCACATCCCTGAGCCAGCGGCTTCAGCCTCTGTCACCTGCAGAACCCTCCCTCCTTCCACACAGTGCTGCGGGAGACTCTGCTGCCCTCACCACCAGTGGTTTACGGACCCCAGCCACCCCGCAGTCCCCCAGCTGTGCAGTTGCAGGGACGAAGAGTCAGAAGAGTGAGCTCCATGCTGTTGGAAGGAGCCCCACGGACTGCAGCTGCTTTCACTTTTTATTCTTGTTAAATTGTGCCCCAAAGCTCCTCCTTAGCTTCTTTTTCTCCCTCCACCTCTCCAGCAGTTCTCCCTCTCGATGTGTCCACGCCATCAACTAAGGACACCCAGTGCTGCTTGGCCCGGGAGCCCCCCTTCGGGGAACGGCTTGCTGCCCACATCTGCTGCCTCCTTCCAGAGTCCATTTCTCATCACCCTCGCTGTGGGTGGCCTGGGCTCCCTCGCAAGTCCATGCCACCTGCTCTGTGTGAGCCCCATCTGGAAAGGACCTGGAGGGGTGGACACCTGCTCACCTGTGTGTCCCAGGCGCTGTGGGCAGCTCTGCAACTCAGCCTGGAGGTCAGTGCAGGGCTCTCGGGGTCCTAACAGCAGCCCAGGCGGCCTCGGCTGCTCCCCACAGCCACTGAGGAGTCAGCGCAGCCCCTTTTCTCGGGAGCAGACACGCAGGTGGCCCAGATGGCACCTTACCCACCCTGCCCAGGCAGCAGGGACAACAGCAGGTCCCTGGATGTCACCAGCACCAGCAGGGTGGGGAACAGCGGCACCTGGTCAGAGCGAGGACCTCCCCGCTGTCCCGGGAGGGTCCCCCACCGAGGGTGCAGGCGGGAGAGGTGCAGAGGAATCGGCTGGGTGTGATGGCCAGGCAGCTGCTGTGGCCCAGTCTGCAAAGCCCAGGCAGATCGCACCATGTGAGAAGCTCTGGACGGTGCGGACAGGCGGCCGCTGGGACAGGAGGGGTCTGCACCGTCCCCAGCTGCAGGACTGGCTCCCTCACAGCAGGGCCTGGCGTGGGAGGCCGGAGCTTGCAGGCCACAGCGCCACCGCCTCCTGCCACCCCGAACCTCCCTGCTGCTGTGACCAAGAGGCCAGACACGCTGGCAGCTGTGCTTGCACAGCTGGGAAGACAGGCACAGGTCAGCCGGTCCCCAGCCCCGGCCACCTCACCCTGCTCTCCCTGGAGCGTTCTGGGCTAGGGCAGGCCCTGTGCCACCATCACCGTCACGGAGACAGGGACGGTGACTGCAGCCGTGTAGGAGCCCTCTCGTGCCTCCCCTCCTGGAGCGCAGCGGCCACGTCAGAACCCTGAGTGCAGCAGCGCCAGAGTCGTGGGCAGCAGTGAGCAGAGAAGCACAGCAAGCGCCTGACGCTGAGCTCACGTAGCAGCATCACCACACGTTGGTCACCTGCAGTGCTCAGGGCCTCTCTGAGGAATCCAGCACTCCTGCGTTGGGTGCGTTCTTGGTGCCAGAGCTTTGCAGACTCCTAAGACGCCCTCTCCTGAGTAGTTAACTACTGCTTTCCTGCAGAGCTCAGCGGCCGATGCTGTCCAGGGCTGTGCACTTGGCCAGCCCTGTGAGCCACAGAAATCACTCCCCAGCTTCGGTCACTGAGAGGACACAGCGCTACCCACTGGAAGGATGCATATTGCAGCCAGGCACGTGTCGTGCTGTGGACGGTGGGCCTGCGTGCTGGTCAGTTCCCTGGCCTCTCTGCACCCAGGACAGGAAGAGGCAGCAAGGTGACCAGACTGCTCCTGCCTGCCACCCCCCACCCTGTGGCTGGGTCTGTTGCTGCAGCACTGGGGGACACATTGCCCTCACCTGTACCCCTAGCGCCTCTGCCACTGTCCCGGAGCCTGCGATCACAGGGACCACCTGAGACCTCCCATGGCCGGGTCCAGTGGCCGCCCCGGCTCCCGTCCACTCCACAACAGCAACTGCTGATGCCTCGTGGATGCACACATCCTCTGCTCTTGGCTCAGAGCCGAGGTCGTTCCTGCATGAGGGATGCACAGCCTCAGGGACAGACCCGCAGACACCCACGCCCCTGGGCAGGGCTCGAGGAAAGCAGTGCTGAAGGTGGAAGTTAGCCAGGGCAGCTCCACTCTGTACGGAGTCAGGAGCCCACACACCCACACCCAGCAGTGTGGCTGAGGCCCGGTTGCTGCAAATCTCCAGGGGTGCGGAGCAGCTTGCTTGGTGTGGTCGGATGTCTCCCTGAACAGGCCGAGCAGGCAAGCCCCGGAGCCGGCCCTCTGCAGGGCCCAGAGGACGGGGTCGCTTGTGAGCAGGGTGCGCGAGAAGCGGCTGCTGGAGCAGGGGGCTTCATGGCTCAGCCAGCGACCCCACGTGCAGCAGCCCAGCCGGGTGTGCGGTGTGCGTGTGTGTGTCTGTGTGCATGCTCTGCCATCCCTTTCATCCTTCATCCCGCCAGCCTCCCACTGTTTCCCAGCCTCACTTCCTAGAACAGTCAGCTTCAGGTGCAGCCTTGGGCCCTGCAGGTGTTTGGCCCCAGGCGGCCTTGTGCCACCTGTCTCTAAGTACCCGGCACAGGGTTGGTGCTCAGGGACTGTGGACTGAGGAGCAGCACCCAGCCTGGGCTCCAGCTTCACTCTGTTGGTCCGGAGTATTCTGTAGACCTGTGTCCGACTCCGTCACCCGGAAGCAGATCTGGTGCACACCTTCCCTAGCGAGGTGGTGGGCTCCACCATGCCAGAGCTGCCAGGCACCTCAGGAAGAGGCTGCGGGCTCCGGGGCCCACCCAGGGGAGGGGCCGCTGGCATCGAGGTTCGGACAGACGGCGTGGAGGAGGAGCCCGGCTGGACGCTGACTCGTGCTCCGGGCCCCGTCTAGCTAAGGATCGCTCAGCGCGCTGTCTGCTGTCAGCCTCTCACACCTCCTCAGAAACAGACGTGTAGTACCTCACTGGGCACAGGGTTAACTTGGGCATCATGACACAGCGTGGAGTCTAAACGAGATCAGAGGGTTCCAACGTGAACCCCTTCCCCGGGGACAGCGGGTGAGACCAAGCTAACCAGAGTGGCTTCGAGACCTGTCCTGAGTCTGCCCTGGTCCAGTGCCCGTCGCCTGCGGACACCCAGCCCTGCTGGTGCCATCTTCCCTGGAGCCCTGGTCCCTGCCAGGCAGGGCTGGAAATGTCGTCAGGGGAGGTGACCGCTATGCAACGGACCTTGCGCCTGACTGCGGGGCTGCTGCTCACGGGAGTCCTGAGGTGCCTTCCAGTGGCGCCAGGTCCACAGCGAGGCTGCCTCTGGCTCAGCGAGCCCATCTCGTGCCCCGCAGCATTGGATCCTCTTGCTCACAGCTCAGCCACTCACTCGGGAGGCAAGTGTGAAGGCTGCCGTGGCCCTAGGGAGGAGGAGCCTGGGCAGCAAGCAGCCAGCTCGGTTGGCCAGGGTGACAAGACTCAGACAGGGACGATCAGGATCCAAATCCAGGCTGTGCTCCTGCAAGGCGGCGTGCCTGGGCCGCCCAAGCCTTCTCTCTGCCCGGGGAGGTGGGGGACACGGACAAAGCCAGGCCTGAGCCGGGCCCCTTGGAGCAGAGCTCCCGCCGGCCACCGCACAGGGCACCCCACACCAGCCCGTGTCTGCAGGGCCTGCTGTCCTGGCCAGGGGCTGGGTCCTTCTGAGGTGCAGGTGCTGGGCCATTCAAGGGGCCGAAGATGGGGGCTGTGACTCTCATCAGCGTCTGTCTGGGACCCTCGTCTGCACAGAGGGGCGCCCACCCCACTGCTCAGTGCCTGGAAGGGTCGGCATCTGCTGCTTCCTGCTGGGCTCCCTGCATGGGGTGTGGGGGCTGCTGGGCCTCGCTGGGCCAGCCACCGCCCCCCGGGAAGCCCTGGCGGGTGTCACAGGGCCCCACCTCTGCCTGCCTCTCTTTCCAGGAAGTCTGTCATCCAGCTAGACCTCGCCAACACCAAGAAGGCAATGATCGTCCCTGCGTTCGAGACGCTGCGCTATCGGCTTTCTTTCCCCAAGTCGAAGGCAGAGCTGCTGTCCATGCTGGACATGGGGACCCTTTTCACATTCAGGTGAGTGGCCCTCGCCCCTGTCCTCCAGGCACTGAAGGGCCCCTGTCCCGGAGCCCAGATATCGAATCGGTATCCACTGTGAACCCGAGACACAGGCTCACACCACACTGTCCTGGGGAGCCCCACCCCTGACGTGGCCAGCCGGGAACCGTGTCCACCGGAAGGGCAGTGCTCGGGCAAGAGGCCAGGCTTGCTTCTGTCGGGCTGCATGAGCTTGATCACACCTGCCATCTCCTGCGCTGCACTCCGTGGAGGCTCCTGCCGAGAGCACCCTGGTGTCACTTTCCTTTTAGGGGTGGGATCAGTCTAGCCTGCGGGCTGTGACTTCAGCCTGGCCCAGGTGGCAGTGACTTCAACCTGAAGTCTTTTGGAGGCGACTCCAGGCTGCACACAACTGCTGTGGACCCAGCTTTTCTGCTGCCCAGGGACAGGTGGGAGCAAAACCCACAGTTCCCTCCTCTCGCAGATGCAGTCCTATGGGGCATGCATAGGCTCATGTGGAGGCTATGGGCATGTCGAGGCTCAGGCGCCCCTGGGCTCCGGCTTCAGGGACAGGCGTGGCATAAAGGGAAGCAGGGGCAGGTGAGCAGGAGCCGTCAGTGCACGTGAAGCCTCTGTGTGGAGCAATGCAGGAGCGGCTAGCACAGCCTGAGCTACAGAGAGGCAGGCAGTCCTAACATGTGCCCACTCGAACCAGCAGCAGGGCCTGCGTGACAGTGCCTTGGGCAGCTTGTACCACCCGATGGGACTGTCCCCTGCCATCCTGGCGGGAGCCTGGCACGTTTAAATCAGAGCCGCCTGGCAGCAAGACAGGAATTCCGGCCCCACGGTGACCATGTGAGCCTCCCCAGCCCCGCCTCCTGCTGTCCAGAAAGCCGCTTACAGGTGCCTGTCACTGAGGGCTCACTCACCAGGCGTTGTGACAGGACAGCTGATCCTCCCGCGGGGCAGAGGTGCCGAACCGCAAGGACAGAGACACGGAGGGTCTGAGAGGCGGAAGAGCTCCTCTAATACAGACTCAGCCCAGGCCTGAGGAGCCACCGGCCTCGCCCACAACCGCGCCAGGCTCCCACGAGCCTGGATGTTCACAGCAGTCAGCACGGGAAGAGAGTGACAATCGTGTGACAGTCGTGCCCTCCGGGCCTAGCTCACCAAACACCTGGTGGGCTTCCGGGTTGTTCCTCCTCCATCTCCGGCCCTGGGTACCGAGAGCCCATCTTGGGCATCTGGCCTGCTGCGCCCGCGATTACCGCTCTGTCCAGCAGCTTTCAAGCCACCACCAAGCCAAGCGCTAAATTACAGAGCTTCCCTCTGAGAATTGCTCTGTGCCCTGCTCTCCAAGTGGTGAGCACTGAGGCCCACGAGCACTGAAACCGGCTCCCTGCCACTCCTGGGATGAGAACGCTTCTCTCAGCCGTCTCCAGGGTCGCAGCGTCTCATTGCTGGGTCCTGGGTAGAGATGCAGTCCTGCAGACGCCAAGCTTGAGAACCTCCCAGCACCAGACAGGCCGGAGCCGGGACCCTCTCCCCAGCCAGCGCTGTTTCTGAGGCGCCTCTGCTGCAGGTCTCCGTGCACAGCCCCCAAGTCCTGTCCTCCCGCCCCACTGCCCCGCCCTCTCTTCCCATTGCAGCGGGCAGGGCTTAGACTCGAGGACAGCAAGCATTGGGCCTCACGGGCAGGGGCGCTGTGCCTGGACATCGTGCTGGAGGTGACAGGAGAGACCACGAGGAGTCCTCCTTTCCCAGGCAGACCCGGCCTCAGCATTCCGAGGACTGAGCCGCTCACAGCCCTCTGTGGCTTGGGGGTCATCAGTTCCCCTCGTACCCGGAGGCAGTGAGGGCCCAGGGTGCGAACTGCCCCTACTTGCTCAAGGACTTGTTCAAAGCCACTGCTGCACCCACCTGGGTAAACTGCCCCTGGAGCCAGCACCACTGGGCCCCTCTGTATGCTCTGCCCGCTCCTGGCCTCCCTGAGCGCTCAGCAATTGTGCAGCAGGAAGAGCCTCCAAGGGCTTTCTGCAGGGTCCTCCGCTGCCCAGTGGCGATGTGGGAATCGAACCCTGGCCCGATGGCTCCATCACTTGGGCTGCTCGGCTTCCGTCCAAGGTTCCGCAGCTGCATACAGAGTCCCTGGCCTCACCGTTGCCCCCCGGGATACCCTTCCTCACTCCTCACGTCAGCGGCACTCGGCTGGCTTTGGGCAGTCTCTGTGTTCGGACTGAGGGTCACATCCCTGCTGTCTCTCCAGCAGCACAGCTCCAAGGAGGCCGCCCAGCGGCCAGGACCAGGCCTCAAGGGTGCCCAGGAATCCAGCCTGGGGTGGGGCAGCTCGGGTGCCCTGGGGGGACGGGCAAGACCCGGATTCAGAGATGTCCTCACCCTTCCTGGGAGCCTCACGACTCTGGTGCCATCGTCCTACCCCGTGTGCCCGGACCCGGTCTCTGGCTCTGCTCCGCTCCTGCCCCACCTGTCCAGGCCTCTGCCGCCCACTAGGGCTCATCTGCTTGTCCTCCAGTCTGCCTGGAGCCTCATCTTGGAGCACTGTCCAGTAGGGACAGTGAGGCACGGGGTGGATCACTGGCCAGCAGCTCCCACTCAGCGTGCGCCCTGCCCTGGGGGGAGAATTTAAAACCCTAGGCCGTGGGCCCGGCATGTGGGGAGTGGGCAGTCGGCTTCAGCTGCCCTTGCTGTTGCAAGGCCGTCTTCATTTTCTGTTGACATGTAACAGATTCCAGCGCCAGTCCGCGCGTAGAGCACCTGGGTCCTGCAGACCCCACCACAGGCTGCCTGTTCCTCACCTGCTGCTAGCCCACTTCCTTTCCTTACACTGTGCTGGCCTCAGCGTCCCGTATCCGGACGCCCTGTTCTGTGCCCTGCAGCTTCCTTCCAGATCCATGGCCGAAGGCTCCCTGATCAGGCCAGGCCCGCCTCGGCCGTCTCCTTTTCCCTTAATCCAAGTTTCCCAGATCGGGAGCCTCAGTTCTGCCTGCAGAAATCCTTCTTGCATGCAGTGTACTGTGGGTGGCGCCTCGGCAGCCCCCAGGTGGGACGTCACAGAGGCCGGGGCTCTGAAGGGGCCTGCGGCTGCTTGCTGGCCTCCCTGAGGGTGCATCTCCCTTCCAGGCTGCTGTGGCAGAGAACAGAATGCCTGGCAGTGCAGCATGGGTCTCCTGGCCTCCGGGAGCAGAGCAGAACCCCACTTCCTTCCCACGCCCACGCCTCTTCTCCCTGTGTCACAGGTACCACGTCTGGACGAAAGGCCACGCACCCACCAACTTTGCCAAGTGGCGGACTGCCACCACGCCTTACCGGGTGCAGTGGGAGGCCGATTTCGAGCCGTATGTGGTCTTGAGACGGGACTGCCCCGAGTACGACCGGAGGTTTGTTGGCTTCGGCTGGAACAAGGTGGCTCACATCATGGAACTGGACGCACAGGTGAGCAGCTCAGACGACCCCGGCGTGGGCCAGGGGTGAGAAGCGGGAGCCACGTGGGGTTGGGGACCCGGAGTGGGAAGGTGGCAGCACTGGTCCTGCTGCTTTCTCCACCCTTGGGCCTAGGCTGTGGCCCTGGCCAGGCCCAGCAAGTGTGTCTGTGACACAGCGTCTGGGTCCTCAGCCTTGCCCGCCCTGAGGACCAGCAGGTCCTGGGCGTGGCGTGGACGCCAATGCACCTGACCGCTCCACCCTTGGCTAACAGAGTGGTGGCCTCTGGGCTTTGCTGAGCCATGCGATCCTTCACTTGCTTTTGGAGCATGGGGGTCCGGGCTCTGTGAGCGTTTTCTGGGAAGATGCGGCTGGCGCATGGCCTTGTGGCCTCTCTGCAAATGAGCTGGCTGTGCCCCAACACCCTCTCTCTCAGACACACAGGGCCACACGTGCCGCCATCTGTCGGCCCCCGTGTTGAACAAACGAGAGCACGGCTGTCCTGCTTAGTTCCCAGAAGGGCACTGGTCCCCAGCCCACCCCTCCATGGCCCGCGCTCTCCAAGGCTCCTCCTGCACACAGGGCCATGGCTCTCACCAGAGCACCCAGCCCGAGGTGCCCAGTGCCAGCCAGCGAGGGCCTCACCAGCAACTCTGCCGAGGTGGGGAGCAGTCCAGGAGCTGAGAATCAGGATGCGGGCAGCGCAGGGTCCGTACAGGTGGGCGGCCACACCCACAGGGGCCACGGGGACGGAAATGCCCAGAGGACTGAGAGAGGGGACTTCTTCTCTCCCCTCCCTGGCTTCTTGCCACGGGCAGTATCACGCCGGAGGCAGCCTTCCTGTCTGTCCCTACTCGCCTCTCGTTTGCTCTCATCCTCTCTGGGCTGGGAAAGGAGATGCGCAGCGCTCACTCAGACTGGGCACCTGGAGGACCCTGTGCCCGGCTCCCTGTCGGTGGTGAGTGTGAGATTTGCGCCACATTTTCGGCTCAGAGGCCTTTTGCGTTTGGTCTGAGGACTTGGCCATGTGCTGCCAGGCTGGGGACAGAGCAACCAAGCAGAGTTCCGCTTTGGATGAGCTGCTGCCCAGCGGAACGTTTGCCTTTCCTTTATTTTCTCCTTGTCCTTGTGGGCCCCTCCTGGCCCTGCCTGGGGCGGCTGTAGAAGCTCGTCTGTCCTGTGCACAATCACGTGAGCAGACCGGTTAGGGGCCAGCGGCCATCCCATCACCCAGTGACCCCATGTGGTTCTCCACCGGGTCTGCCTCCGAGGCAGACAGGAAACCCAGGCTCGGCTCAGCCTGGTGTCCGTACAGGGTCACGGAAGCAGCCCTGAGCTCTCCCTCCAGAGCCGTGATGCTGCCCACGGCCGCCCTGCTGTGCCATCGCCCTCCCCAGCGCGCCTGGGGCCCTGGCCGGTCCTCACTCTGCTCTCGTCTGCCTGCAGGAGTACGAGTTCACCGTGCTGCCTAACGCCTACATGATCCACATGCCCCACGCCCCCAGCTTCGACATCACCAAGTTCCGCTCCAATAAGCAATACCGAGTGTGTCTCAAGACACTGAAGGAGGAGTTCCAGCAGGACATGTCCCGCCGCTACGGCTTCGCCGCCCTGAAATATCTCACGGCTGAGAACAACAGCTAGCGCCGGGAGCCACCGCCAGGGACAGACACACTGCAGGGCCCAGCCACCCTGCCCACCGCCAGGCCCCGCCTTCCAGGTCCAAATGGAGCAGTGCTTCTCCGGTTTGTTTTTCTTTGTCTGTTTGGCCCAGCCAAGCTGTCACCGCCGAGATTGGACCAGGGTCCAGCCAGCCGCTCTCTGCAGCTCAGAGTGCAGGGAGAGAGCCCAGCAGCGTGACGCACTTTGAGGAGGGGACGTGGAAGGGAGAGCAAGGAGGGTTCCCATGGCACCGCGGAGCCACAGAGCCCGGCAGCGGGTGGGAGACGTGGGTCCACCCGGCTGAGGAGGGGACGGCGGGGTGCTGCGCTCGGGCGCCCCAGGAAGTCAGAGCCAGGTGTGGCTTCAGCAAGGGCGCGCTCCTCTGTGCTGTCCCAGCCTCCGGAGAAGCCCATGGGGACGTGGCAGCCGTCCGCAGGGACCCGGAGCAGGGTGGGTCGGTTCTTTATCCTCAGAGCCGCTCTCGTTCTGTTTTGAATTGTTTTAGTTTGGGGGATTTTGTTTCATTTTCAGTCTGGGAACCCAGAATGGAAAATCTGGTCCTTCAAGGCTGTAGAGGAAACTCTGCTGCCCCCTCCGGCGCCCTCTGTCCGCCGTGGCACAGGAAGACGCCTCCAGCGGATGGTCAGACACAGCAGCTTCCTCCAGGGCCCTGGACAGCGACCCACCTTCCGGAGAAGGCCTGGGAGGAGCGCAGCACGGCACGCGGACGGCACTGCCCGGGGAGGCCGGTCCGCAGGCTCGCAAGGCTGCGTGGGGCCGCAGGAAACTGGTGGGAGCCTCTGCCTCCCGGGCCTCGCCATGGCCACCCAGACTGAGGAGACACTGGGCTTCCTACCCATCCCTTTACTCTTCACTGTTAATGTTGTGTTTACACTGATGCGAGCAGAGTCAGTGCCCTCCTCCGCGGGGCTGTCTGTTATCGAGTTGCCATGTGACCAGCGAAAGCTGCATTCAATAAACAAGTTCAGACTGTTTCCTCCCGTCCACCCTCCCTCCCCGCTTCTTGGGTACTAGGGACGGAGCCACTTCACACTGAGCTACACCCCAGCCTTTTTTTATTTGAAGACAAGGTCTCACTGCATTGCCCAGCCTGGGCTCAAACTTGTAGTTCTCCTGCCTCAGCCTCCCAGAGTGCTGGGGAGACAGGTGAGCAGCCCTCCCCTTCACATCAGAAGCTGCCGGACACCCTTCAGCATAGGCAAAATCTGAATCCAGAGCAGCAGCTGCATACTTGTCGTCCTGGGTTATGTTTCTCATCCTTTGAGCTCTCACAGTTTTCCCTCCTTGCTTAAGGCCCCGTCTTGCTTTACCCTCGAACCCTCACACATCTCCAGATGTTCTGTTTAGCTTCCGTCTCGCCGAAGGTGTCCTTATGTCGGATGTGTACCCGGGGGCCCAGAGCGCTCAGCGTGGCCAGATCCTGCCCTGCCCATGTGCCCAGCACAAGTGTTTCCTCTGAGATTTAGACAGAAGTAGAAAGTTTGCAATCCGGACGGATCCTTACACAGCTGCAGACAAATGCATGGAGAGGAAGCACATGCGCATGGCATGTATGCATGCGCCGGCGTGTCTGTAGCATTTACACACGTTTCTCAGCACAGAGGTAATAGAAGCACTGTGAGAAGCACAGCATCACAGAATGAGTGCTCAGAGAGCACCGGAAGCTGGTCTCCTCAGTGAAGTGCTGGACGGCAGGCCCCCCGGAGCCTACTGTGCACGCGCCCCCCAGTCCCATGTCCGGTGACCCCCAACCCGAAAGCTGGTTGTGGGCTTTACCAGCAGCCCCACTGCCTTCCCCTCCCCATGTACACACACACACTCCCCTCTTTCCTGCAGACAACAGTGTCAGCCACGTATTCTGACTGAGTCATTACCAGCTCCTTCGGCCAGGTTGAAAACCAACTGGAAGCACCAATTCCTTGGTGTTAAACAATCATTTTTCATTCCCTGAAGCCTTTTTAAAAAGTTGTTCTGGCACCCGAATCATGCCCATCTACATCGCTTTCATTTGCATGTTTATGGGCCCAGCTGGTGACCTGTAGTTTGTCCGTACACTGGTCACTGCTAAGAATGAAAGAAGGTGCTGATTACTTCAGCACATTCAGTGATAAAACACATGGCTTCCTGCACACACAGTTCATGAAAGCAGAAAGTGGCTCCACAGCAGCAGGAGAGACCCCTGGGTCCTCAGGAGCAGGTGCCTGATGTTGCAGCCTGGGGCTCAGAGGCTGCCGGATGCCCGAGTTCAACACCGAGGCCGCCAGCACCGTGGCGCTGGGCTACGGATCCCAGAGCTGCACGGGGCCAGCGCTCACTGCCAGCGGGGCGGAGACTGCACTGTGTCAGCCCCCCGGGTGGGACAGGTCCGGAGCAGTCACACCGCGGTCTTCATGCTGAACCACGCTCCTGCCATCAGCTTCCTGCTGAGAGGAACAGGGTCTTCTTGGGGCCCTGTGACGAACCAGAGCCAGGGCTCTCACCCACTACTGGTGCTTGAGTCTGAAGCCACACGAGCTGCGAAGGAAGCAGGTGTCGCACACCAGCAAGTGGCAGGAGCTGACCCCACAGAGGGCCGGGCCCATTTCTAGTCTCTTCCCACACCCACGATCCCAGTGCCCACGAATCCCCTTCCTCCACACCCAACCTCGCTGCTCTCCTGCATTCCCGGAGACCCGCATGGACTCGAGCCCGGAAGTCTCCAACTGGTTCAGACCGCTGGGATCCAATCCAGGGGCAGCAACCGACTCCCAGAGCCCCTCCAGCCTTGTTTCCTGGAGGATGCGGTACAGGTTGAGCCGAGAGCCTCCAGCGCTGCCCTGGGCTGGACTGAGCCTCCTGCTTCAAAGCCGTCTCTGAAGTGTCGCGCTCCTCAAAGTGCACATGCTGGAGGCACTGACTAATGGCTTCTTTGTGCCCCATCATGAAAGCCCAGACCCCACTTTAACGGTGTTCCTTTCAGAGACTCTACTGTCTCTGAGTTAAGGCTTCGTCTGTGGTCACCAGGCCTTGAGGGTGCCCTGTGTTCTCAGAAGAAGCGTGATTAAAATCCCCTCTGAGACGCACCCTGCACCCTCCTGGGTGGACAGAGAGCACTGCCGTTCACGGAGCCCAGGCTGCCTGGTGGTCGGCCTGGTGGGGCCCCGCAGCATCCAGTAAAGTGAGAAAGGTTCATTGCCCCAACTGCACAATGATCAGAAAGACTTCTTGAGGCCTCCCGTTCAGATTGGCCGCTTGTACATTCCCCACACTATGCCTCTCTGAGAGGGAATGATAGACGCTATGCAAAGTGCTCAAATCTTAATAGTTTGGGGTGCACTTAAGACTGACGGTCCCCTGTGTAACCAGAGCACAGAGATCAAATTCAGCAGCTTCGACACAGACTCGGCGCTGCCATCTCACCCCAGGCTGCCCACGGTCTTCGTGGTCTCTTTCTGACATGACAGGACCCCACCCCAGCCCAGGGTCCACTCAAGAGGACTCATCTAGCTGCCTCTGTCTAATCAGGAACAGCTACTGAAAGGCTGTGTGGGTTCGGATGGAGGTTTATTATGTGTGGATGTAAATATGAACCTTTACTCTTTTTTTAGCTTCTCAGATCTACAAGGCACAGATAAAACAGCAGTGTAGGAATTCTTGCACTGGGGTGGCTCAGTGGCAGAGCGCTTGCCTAGTGTGCTTGAGGCCCTGGGTTGGATCCCCGGCATGGTAAAGGAAATGAATAAATACGTAAAAAGAATTCTTGACTTTCCAACTCCCCTGGTCGTGCGCCCACGTCTGCCTGCTCGTCTCTAGCTTTGAGAGGCCCCACGTCACTCCGTAGAGCAGAGGTGAGGCGTACTTCTCTCCGTGACTGTTGGGGGCCACCTCCCACACCCAGACTGTAGAGGCTCTGAAACGCCTTCTGCACAGGTGAGGACAGGCTGCCTCCCCCGACACCAGGGCCACACCTGTGGCCTGAGCAGGAAGAGGCCGAGTTCCCTGGCTGGGCCTCAGAGGGAAGCGCTGTGTGCACCGCAGCAGGCTCACCATGCTGTGAATCCCAGGAACGCCCGTGAGGGGATGTGTTCCGCAGTTCGCTTCTGGGCAACTTGTAGTAAACCAAAGGTGATTCTGGCCCAGGAGTTTCGCCAGCTCCAGTGATGTGAAGGTAACCATGTCCAGTGCAGCAGAAGGAAGCTGGCGGAAGCCGCCGCCTCGGCCTGCCCTCCACAGGGGAGCTGCAGGGACACTGTGCCACCACCAGAGCCACCTGGCCCCACCCTGGCCACCGCCTGCAGAGCTCCTCCGCGCCGCGCCCGCTGTTGTCGTCCTGTGCTTACAGGAGCCCCGTAGGCCCGTGGGTCTAAAGATGATTGTGGAGTGCCAGCTCCACTCCGGGAGGAGTAATCGGTGCAGCCATGCAGCAGCTGCATCTGACTGCAGGCCCAGTCACCCCAGCCTTGGTGGATGCAGGTGATGTGGCCCTAGGGGGGCGGACAGAGCATGGGGTCTGTAGCCCCTTCGGCTGCGGATTAGTGAATGGGGCCATGACCGGGCCCCGAAGGGAGGACAGGACACAGCCGGACGTGACCATGGGGTCGAGCTGTCTCACCCCAGGGAAGGAAGCTCAGATACCGTCTCTGTCTTACAGACTCAGACACAGCAGCCCACCCAGCTTAGCTAAGGCCCTGGACACTGAGCCTGGTCCCTACTGCCCGGTGCTCAGGGGCTCAGATCAGCACCAGAAGACAGAGTCTCTTCTGTGGGGACAGAAGTGGGCGGAAGAAACCCTGTTCGCGGGAGCTGCTCTCCCGGCCTACACAGCGCTTCTCTGGCCTTCAGTGCGTCCAAGTTCCTCGAGGGGCTGCCCGAGGTCCGCTGCTGCTCACAGGCACTGGGGGGCAGAGAGCCCCATCCAAGTGCCACTGCCCTCTGCTCCCTGATTCCCCCGGCAGTCAGCAGATCGCCACATCCTTGGGGGCCCTGGTGACATGGCTGGTGGCCCACACTGAGCCCTGCATAAACCCCATCTGCACATGCGATGGGGCTGTTTTAAGAAACAGCTGCCGGGGTCAGGAACAGTGCCAGTTGGCAGCAATTCCAAAATGAGTGAGGCATGGTCCCCACTGTCACAGAAAGGCAGATGGGCAAGGAAGCAGCAGCTCCAGGTGACCGAGGCAGAGGGACCGGGGACAGGCTGGACCCCAGGGCAGAGGCCCTCAGTCCAGGCTGCCGAGGCAGATGACGCCCACCAGAAAACATTGTTCCGATGTTGCTAAAACAGCAAGGAGGACCATCGAGACGTCGCAGCAGACGTCAGGACCATGGCCCCAGGAGGACAGGCAGGCTGGGGTAGAAACACCAGGGGACTTATGGGGATTTAGTCACAGCAGTGTGTGGCAGGGGAGTGGAAAATCAGAGATGGCAGCAAGGGTGGGAGCTTCTAGGATTTTCCCCCAGATTCATTTATTTTGTCAACAGATACAAATGCATGTGTTTACCATATGCAGTATCTCTGGCTGTGCCACAGTGTAACTGACGTCTCATAGCCAGGTAACTGCCGAAAACGTGACCCACAACGCCGTGATTTTTGCAGAGGGCGCACTTAGCACTGACTCCCTTAACATTGACTTATTTGATTGTTTGTGTTTTGAGACAAGGTCTTACCAAGCTGCCCAGGCTGGCCTCCGACTTGCAGTCTTCCTGCTCAGCCTCCTCAGAAGCTGGGGCTCCGGGCTGTGCCTCTGTGCCCGGCTACTGTAGTGCTTTTTAAGACCGCTATGTCATTACTGACCACCATCAGCGTGGGCCATAGTAGGTCCTTGGAGATCCGCCGGTGGTCAGCACACCAAAGGCAGGTGAGCAACTCGCTCCAGCATCAGGCCTGGGCTGCCCAGCCGGACCCAGCAGGGCTCGTGCTGAGGCCAAATGTCACGACTGCAGCCACGCACAAGGCTGGGCCCATCTGTCCAGCTCAGGGGAGCCCAGCTACCACGGGGTAAAGCAC